GGGAGAAAGGCACATTTTCTGATTGCTATTTACAAACAAAGAGAGCTGGCTGCTATCAAAAATCCCACGTTTTTCCATCACAATTAATTGCGTGATCACACGCACACGGCGTTTCAACCAGATTTCAAACAAGGACTGAAAGGAAACGCAGCTTTAGGGTTTTCTCCATCCAACTCCACGCAACTTTACACCATTTCACAACTCCCACCTCCACTCAGGATCTCACTGACCCTCCTGAACACGAATGCATCAGGAACGACCTCTGCTTCAGAACACCCCGAGCAAAACCCTCCCAGCTTTAAGCCTCCTGCCTCTTATCAACCCAACTCCCTCTTCCCCCCCAATTACTTGGTTTCATTCTCTCTGGTCGACTCACTTCCACATTCCTCATATTTGGAATGTCTGCTTGATGGATTCACTTTTTTCCCCCCCCTCCTTCGCCCCTCCTCCTTCCTTCCTTCATTCATTCTTTCTAATGCTCTGCACTGAGCTCTTTTCAGGTTTGGAGCTCCCACCTCCACCCCCAAACTGATTTTTTTTTATTATTATTTTTTTTAATCTCGACTTGGAAAAACCAAACTTTTTTTTTTTTTGTCTTAAAAACACGTATTTTTCATTATTTTTAACCTTCCAAAGAATAAATAACAATCATTTTTCAGACTGTAGAAAATCACTTTCTTCCCATCTGCAAAGTTACAGGAAAAAAAACTCCAAAACAGCAACAAATAATGGTTAGACTTATTTAAACTCAGAGTTTTTAACGAAACGACAAATTTATCAGCAATGGCCCTTTTTTAAACAGCGATATTTTAAAGTTTTGCTGCTGTTTTCTTTTTTTTTCTCCCCCAAAATAGTTCCCAATGATTACTAAGATAAGTTGCAGCTTTGGGTGTTGAGAAAAAAAGAAATCGCTGTAATTAAACAGCTCTAAATCAGTTTATCCTTCTTGTGAATCGCTCTCTTACACCACATTAAACAAATTCTCTATTTTTTAACCCATTTCTGTTGCAGGACTTAAGGACAAGAGGGGTCTTAATGAAGAAAATACACCAGCAGGGGAGATTTATTGACAACACGCAATTTCATCGTATGCAGTTCTTCCCAAAAGCACCCAGCATCAGTTCTCCCAAACTTCAGCATTTGCAATTTCAATGAAAAGAAACACAACCACAATTCTGAGTTTTATTTTACAGGTTATTTACAAAGCACATCGTTGACCATCACTTTCTTTCCCACATTTCTACATTAAAATAAGTAGATCTAAACACGAGGTTGGGGGGTGGGTTTGGATCACACCAAAACCCATCTGATTTTGTCCTCTCTGCTCACACTTAATTAACCATATCCTGCTCTGTGTGTCTTTAAACTGGAAAATCCAGTCTTAAAAACAAGCAGAAAGAAGGAAAAGAAAAAAAAAAAAGGCAACAACTTCAAAAAAAAGAGACGGTGCCATCACTCCAGCCTTTATCCAGAGAGAGGGGAGGAAAGCAAAACAGGCAGAAAAGTCCACCAACAACCTGCAGAGTTTGCAGCTGTGCCACAGTTGCCTTTGCTGACCCCCAGAAACACAAACTGGCATCCCAAAACCCAGGCAAAGAAACTGTAGCAACCTCTCCACCGAGCATCCAGCCACCCCATCTCGGCTGATGAAACGATTTCCAGCAAAGCACATGAAGAAAGTCAACAGCAAAAATGGCTCCTGCAGCTTTAAAGGCAGCGGATGGGGGCTATGGGGCTCAAACCAAAGCCCCTTTTCACCCCCCCCAGCCCTGGATTTAGCAACCAAACGTAATGAATTGCACTTCTCCTGGTTCTCATTAAACCACCGCTAACGAACCTTCCTTTTGCTTCCACCCATTGTAAAGTTTCACCCAGCATTTCTTTGAATTACAGACGCCAAAGAAATATTTACATTTCCATTGAATTTCTCCCGGAGTGCTCTTAGCAAAAGTCAGAGGGGGGAAAGAGGGGAGCAGGGAAATACCCTGAGATCTTCTCCACCCCTGTAACCCCATTGATCACCAGAAATACTACAAATAATCAAAAAATCGGGATGCATCCCCTTCCCCCCCCACCCACCCCTTTTTTTTTTTCCCCTTGATTTATTTTTGAGCGTTATTACGTTACCCTTCACAGGATAATTGCCTTTCCAATAACACACTTAGATTCATTGATACTGGAGCCACAGGGAGACTCCGAGCCTTATAACGACCGATATCGATCCCCTTTCCACGAGGAGGGGCTGGAAAAACCCCTACAGGGGACATTATTAAATGGAGTCCTGCCTTTAGGGTCGGCCCCATCGCAAGGCACGGCCCCCTCCAAGGAAAAAAAAAAAAACATTGCCAAAAACCCAACAACCTCCCAGTAGGGTCGGGTCCACATCATCTCCCCAAAGGGGTTCTCAACCAGCAGAAAACCCCCTAGAGTTTAAAGAAGAAGAGTTTTCCTCTGCACCACGTTGAGCGCCGGGCCGGCCACCCCATCACGTGGCGGAACGACTGCATGGCCCAGCGTGGGCACCGAGCTTTGAGGAGAGCTCACCCACCTCTTTAAGGGATCAGAATCACCCCCAAAGACCCCACACAAGCAACAGTGAACCCCCCCTCCCCCCTGGACCCAACAGTTTGTTTCATCCACCCTTATGGCCCTCCGGGTTCGGAGTCCCGCGCGCCCTCAGCAACAAAGGGCCAAGAAGATGGGGAGGGCCGTGCAGGCCGCGACGCCCAGAGAAAACGTGAAGAAATGGGGTTTCAGCCCCAAAAATAACAAGTTGAGGGGGGTAGGCAGGAGCTGAGGCAGCACCTCATATGGCGGGGGTGAAACCTTGCACCAACGTGCAGCCGGCCCCATTTTTATGTAATTATTGACGTTCGTTTTAAAGCCCTCGCCCTCCATCCCAGCGAATTTCACCCGTGAAGGAGAAATTAAGCAAAGAGTGTTTTGTTTTTTTTGTTTTTTTTTTTTTAAAAACTTGGCGGTTCTGTCGAAATAACAAAAGGCTTTTGGGCCCTACTGGTGGAAACAGGCTGGGAAATTCATCCAGTGCCACAAGTTTGAAAAATCCCAACCCCAAAACGCCATTCATCACTTGGGCAAAAGGGCGGCGAATCGTTTTTATTGGGGAGGATTATTTTTTTTTTTTTTGGTAACAAACAAACAGAAGAAAAACTTAAAGCCAAAGAAAAGTTTCCAATAAAAAGACCTTAAAGATAAGAAGATCCTCAGAACCGCTCCTCACCTCGCTGGGCCATTCCCAAAGCCAAACCACCACCATATCTCCTTCCACATGCACATATTTGGATATAATTTTCTTTTTTTGCCTCCTTCCTCTTACGTTATTATTTCCCCCACTCCAAAGCAAAATAAAATAAAGAAAAAAAAAAGTAATTAAAACACCGTATTACCTTTGCTTTTTAGGGACTGAGTGTTCAATCTCTAGCTGTTTTCCATGCAGCTCCACTTTCCCTAAAAATAAAATGTGGCTGTTTTGTATGATCTGGGCGGAGTGGTCAGAAAGCTTTGGGTAACATTCTATCATGTGAAACTTCCCATTTAATTCCAATCACTACAAACTGCAAAAAAAAAAAAAAGCTTTTTTTTTTTTTTTCTCCTCCTGATCACAAGTGTGTTCTATTAAATATAAGGCTGACTTCTAATGCGGTGGGAGGGAGTGGTGAGTTCTGAACAATGTTCCTCAGGAATATTTAATTCCGTCCTTCATTCAGCTCCGCTTCGAGCAAAAGAAAACGAAGAATAATATTTTTGAGATCAATTTTTCGTCTTTAATTCCATGCTTTTGAGCCGTGCAGAACTCCTCTGGGCAGATCACTCCTCCTCCCCATTAAAAGACTCGAAGAAATTTTAACTCCACGCTACGAATGGATTTCTCTTTGAAAACGGGGCGGATTTCTACACCGCCGGTTTATTTATTAATTGGGGGGAGGGAAGGGAAGAGGGGAGCAGCAATGGGAAAAAGCCCGGAGGAAGAAGCTTTGGGCGAGGGGAAAAAAAATCCCAACATTTTCAAAAATTCTCTGCTTCCCGGGGAGCTTTTTTTTTTTTTTTTTTTTTTTTTTGCCTCTTCCCCCCCCACTCCCCCCCCTTCTGTCTTGCGAACAGCATGGCGACCTTCGCGCTCCTCCGCGCATCACATGCCCCAGGAAACCCAGTTTGAAATCAAAATGGCCAAAGTCCCACCCCACCACCACTGTCGCGACGGGACCCCCGCACCGAGCACCGCCGGGTCGGGTACCGTGCAGCCCCAACAAAGCTATAGCGAACCATAGGGAGCTGCGGGGGCCCCTCTCCTTCCCCCCCCCTCCCTCCCCACTGCAGTTATTGGGGGAGAAGCGGGGTCTGCCCCCGCGCACCGCTCGCTGATGCAAACCCCGACGGGGCGTAACGGCCCGAACCCCCCCGCTCCCCACCCGTGCCTGAGCCCCGACGGGGTCCCGCAAGCGAGAGTAGAAAAGGCCGGAGGACACCGCTTACCCGAAAAAGTTTCGATGGCTTTCATGGCCCACTGTTCGTCGGGGCAGTCCACAAAGGCATAGCCGGACTTAACCAGGAACTGCCCGCTGAAAGAAATCTTGTGGTCGTTGAAGACTTTCTCCAAGTCGGCCGGAGTCACGCTCTCGTTTAGATTCCCGATGTACAGCTTGTTCATGGTGGCTGCCGGCGGGGGGCGGCGGACGGGCGGGCGGTGGCGGCGCGCCGGGGTTCGGAGCGCGGCTGCCGGGGGGGCTCCCACCGTACGCCCGCACCGTCGGACAGCGGCCGCCCTCTGCCACCCCACAGCCGGGGCGGGGGTTCGGTGCTCCTTTTCTTTGAACACTCCCTCTCCCTTCCCTTCCCCCCCCCCCTCCTTTTTTTTTTTTTTTTTTCGCTTTTTTTTTGTTTTGTTTTTTGGGAGGGGGGGTTTGGTTGGGTTTGGTTTTTTTTTGGTCGTTTGGCGGAGTTTTCCTCGCAGAGGGGTGCAGGCGGCTGCTGAAGTGAAGAACGGGGGGGTCCTAAAGGAGGGGGCGGCTGTAGAGGGCGACGGCAGCGGGGAAGGAGGAGGCGGCGGCGGCGCCGGCTGCGGGGCCCCCAAAACGGCGGAGCGGCACCGGAGCGTCACCGGACGCCTTTCGGCAGCCGGGCACCGCCTCTAAATAAAACCGACCTGGAAAATGAGTGAAAATGTTTGCGGGAGGAAGCCACGTGGTGATGCGGGAGGGCCCGGCCCCCCGGGGGGAGGGGCCGAAAGAGGGGGTGGGGGGGGGAGGGGGCAGCCTTCACTTAATTATTTATTTTAATTTAAATACTACGTTATTTACCTCCACACAGACACGCACACACCCCT